GTGAATGTATAAAATTGAAAATGAAAATGAATAAAACATTTACAATAAAAAAAAAAAAAAAAAAAAAAAAAAAAAGAAGAAGATGTTGGAAAGCCATTTGTCTGAAAAGGTATAGGGTTTCCTACCCAGGCAGGGGGTTGGACTAGAAGACCTCCAAGGTCCTTTCCAACTCTGATATTGTCAAATAATGCAAATTGTTTGTAGGCATAGCTAGAGTATCCTATTTAATTTGTAAAGTAGAATAAAAGAGAGAGGAGAGGAGGGGAGGATGGAAGAATGGAGCATTTGGACCTCTTATATACTACTTATAGACATATACTACTTCATAGTGCTTCATAGTACTTTTCACCACCACCACTAAGTGGTTTACAGAGTCAGCATATTGCCCCCAGCAATATGCTGGGTCCTCATTTTCACTGAGCTCAGAAGAATGGAAGACTGAGTCAGCTTTGAGCCAGCGAGATCAAACTGTTGGCAATTGGCTGAATTAGCCTGCAATACAGCATTCTAATCACTGTGCCTCCATCGTTATTTTTACTATGTTTATTCAAGAGTTGAAAAGTGAACTGAGTCTCATCCAATTGCATTGGAAGAGAAGAAGAGAAGGGTTTACCACACTAAGGTAGGGTGGAAATTCTTGGACATTGACAAAATGACCACAAAAGTCTTTCAGATTGTGGTTACAAAATAGGATAACTCCTGAAACATTTAAAATATCATAAACTGTCTGTCTTTTCTGGATAATGCCTGGTAAAGTGTTGAACTGACTTACTTTTGAAGACTGGCTCCAATGAACATCTGTTTATTCACTGAAGCACATATCAAAGTGATTTAATGTACAGTATATCACAGTTTCACTGACCTATAAAAGTGAGTAAAAAACTATATATTTCCTCAGACTGAATGTATGATGAAAATGGAATTTGCTTTATGTTTTCCTTCAAAGTCATTAAATTTGGAAAGTAAATATGTTGTCCATATTGAATGATATCTTGTACTGCTTGATTACTGCAGGAAGATACATTAGGAATTAATCTGAAGATTTAATATTTATAAGTTATTAGTTTTGTCAAGAAATTTGATTATTTCTCCCACAATATTTCTATGGATCTGGGACTAAGAATTAAGAACATTCAAACATAAACATGGATGAGGAGTCAACAGGAAGTTCTTCAGCTGGACAGACGGGGGGGTGGACTCTCAAGAGCATCATATGAAACCTGTCTGACAAACCAATACCGAGATTTTTTTAATCACCCCCCCCCCCCCTCAGACGCAGAGAGAGGAAACAGGTCTCTCATATGTTGGAGATTTGTCTTTTAAATCAGAGTCAGGGTGACAGTCTACAATATGGCTGACAAGATGCTGACTTCTTGTCAAAGCAAAAGGAACAGGAGGGTACAGAAGAGATGAAAGACCGGTAAGAAAATTTATCTAACCCACAGCCATAAATCAAACCTGGAAAAGGCAAAGAAATCTTGAGAACATAAATAATA